GGAATTATAATACTCTACACAACACAATGCGGTATGTTTTTTCCTAAAATCACAAGAGTTTAAAAATGGTTAAGACTGTTTTGAGTTTCCATTGAATTAATTTAAAATTAAAATAACTTAATTACCTACTACCTACCTAACTAGTAATCACATATACAAACAATATACAAGTATTGAAGTATTTAAATATCTTCCTTTTAACCATATATGCGGGAAACTTCAACTCAAATAAAATTTTATAGGTACGTATATATAGGTATAATGTAAATATTAATTTAAAAACCAGTAATATACTATAGCTGAACCTCGCTCACTATTTTATGGTGGGGTAATAATATATAGAAACTCCATTACTGCAATCCCGCTGTATGCATATATTATACATAGGTACATCGTACATAACAGTGACCAATGAGTAATGACCATATTTTTTGTGAATGTCAACATTCATACAATCATACATACATATAACACAGTGTTTTTAAACTTTAATTATATTAACGACTCTATTGACCATTTTATTACTAAAAGAATATTTAAATTACTTATACTATTCGAATTTTTAATGTTTCTAAATTTCTAATCAATTTTAGGATTTACCTACCGCATTCCTGCGACATCATTTAATACGCGTCTAATATAACAGGTTCGCTCTATTATACAAATAATATATATTCAGGTTTTTTCTCCTACTCGCGGTTTGATTGGATTTCGCGGGTGTATTCCACAAGCATCGAAAATCAAATGATTTTTTTTTTATATGAATGGCGTGCAGTGCTGCAGAGACACGTTCACACTCTTCAACTTGTAAAACTAACTTTAATTTACAGGTTATTATTTATTGTGGGTTTGGGTGTTTAAATAATCACTGGAAATAATATGTTTCTCTCCAAATACCTACCTATTATACAGCCATAGATGTACCTATTCATATTTTAAAAATTCACATCAGTGTTCTATAGACTACCTCTTATTATAATAAAATTACAAATAATTACAGTAATCGCAATATCATATATATATATTATAATTATATACAACGCGAATACATACTTGTCACAGACGCTCGTGGACATATCCCTTTAAAACCTGTGTAAAAATGGTACATTAGTTTCGATTTCAAATAGATTGCTATCTTGAGCAAGTTTCACCGATCATAAATATGTAATAATCTTACTTGTATTATCATATTAGTAAAGTATTATGTATTTATAATTTATGTGTGGACGCCAGACGGTGTAGGCAGAAGACAGCTTGAACCTACGAGAGGTAGTCTTAAACAAATAGTCCCCGACGGAGGGACAGAGCGATCTAGCTTTATAGATAACGTAATGTAATGTTACTAATTATTATACCTTTTTATATATTTACAGTGGTCAGGGGTGTACTTAGACCTGGGATTTTTTGGGGGAGAGGGGAGTTAATATATTTTAGTTTTCCATTATTATTGACCAAATAAATACATCTCATAAGAAAATTAATTCTTCCTGAAAATTTCAGAGAGTGGGAAGAGGATTGCCTCCCCCGTTAGAGACTCTCCTTAATGTATACAAATTTTTGTGATAATCGAAGTCTGCAAAATTGGTGAATATAGTATAATAATTGTATAATATTATGCATCATATTATTAAAATAATTCGGAACAGTAGGTTTCATTCAGAAGTTTTATCCTACACATTGTATTTAATTTATAATATACAATATAGTATATATACTATTATATAATGTATAACAATTAAAACGCAACTATTAAACTTTTATAGATAATTGAAATTATTATATTTCATTATATGTAATTGTCAGATTGTCTCTAAGACAGTATGACGGCAATCAACACTCGACCCGTTGACATTATAACAATATGTAATTCATTATAATAATAAATACTATAACTCCCAAAAAAAAACTAGAATTGATTTCGTTTTACCCAAATGAAACGAAATGACTCTTATACATCATTCTTCAATTTTCATACAAGCCATCGTCGTTGAATCCGCACGATTTTAGACTCCAAATGAATAAATAATATGTTTAGCCTAAGTATTTTAAGGTAGGTAGTGCTCATTACTCAATCAAAAAATACGGGGGGAAATGTAGCCAAATAATTATGGACGTGAGAGGAGGTTTTTAAAAATCTTTCATAATATGACGTGTATGGTTCATCGTTACAAATTTATGGCAAAGTCTGTATTGATTATTATTACGATGTAATGACGTGTTGAGATTATATTCATCAGTATTCTGCGGAAACGTTTTATTTTTTTTGGGGGGGGAGGTCTTAAATGTGGGAACATTCTTTAGATTCCCTATCTAAAAATGAAAAAAAAAAAACGATTTTTAAATTGCAATAATAGTTAGTGAAAAGAGGAAAAAATGTTTTTACCTAATCCATTTATATTTTTATCGAAAGTAAAAATGTATATTGAAACACAAACTGTGAAAATGTTAATAATCATAATGATTTTATTTTCTGGATTTCACTTCTTAAATGAATAATTGGTATTGTCGATAACGACGATACGCATACCGCACCATTATTTTTCACTATAAATATTTATTCATTTGTTTTTAGCTTCAGACCGTACGTATTTGGAACTAATATCTAACCATATATTACTTTTGATTAACGTCAATAACACATCACTGTTTAGCTGAAGATAAAAGTAAAATATTTATTTAAGTATAAGCAAATAGTAATCAGTGATCACCAACAGTGTAACAGTGCACAATGTAAATCTCACCAGTCGTACGAATTGTATACAATTTGTTTGATGTTAATTATCATAACATTTTATAGTAACATTTTTCCAATTGCATACAGCTTAATAAATTAGTTTGCCAGTTTTTAATAACATTTTTATTTATTCTATTAATGATATTGAAACATTTTTTCTTCTAAAAAATCATCAAAATACTGAATGATATTACCTATATTATCATAGAGTAATATTACTCTATGGGTTACATTATGCTTCTGTAACAATATTTATCTAGGCACAAGGTAAAAAAAGAAGTTAGGAAATCTCACTCTGTCAGCGTTCTAAATTCCTGGTTTCTAAACGTATTTTAATACAACGCAATAAAATATTATTCAATATTATACAATTTTTTTTTTATTTACATCACATTATGAAATATACGGCCTAATATCTGTACAGTTAAGCACAATAATAGTATATGTGAGGCAGGGGATACAAATTAAAAACATTATTGGGGTTACAGGATTAACGTGTCACCCATTAGTGACACTTAGCTTGGGGTTTGCATTAGAGGATTACAATTGTCAGTTATGTAAGTATAGTGTAATTATACAATTTAAAATATTTATTTGGTAACTTTTAAATTTTGGTACTTACCTATTATTTTAATATTGACTACTATTCATCTATACATAGAAATATAGAATAGGTACTCATGTTTTGATATATTTTAATAATGGCTAATTTATATGAACTTACTTGAATAGATCCGGGGTTATAATATATTAATACAAACAATCGTTTTAACCGTAACTAACGAACGGACTTACGGACAGACAAAACAGGGATATACCTAATGCTATATATGTATAAGGTTTTCTAAACTTATGTTTAAAAATCTAAAACTATTATACTGGTACCATCGTGCTTGGTATATTACGATTTTCACGGTGGTTTGTTTTCGTCTCTTCGCTTTTTTAGGTAATAGGTATTAAATATTAATTGTTTGATAACATAAAAATAGTATGTGGCATGTGCTATGTAGTCAGAGATATGATTTGACTTTGCCCCCCCCCCTGATTTTTATTTCTGCGGGAACTGTTATTGGATGTTATATTATAAACTTTAAGCGCTGGGTGATTTGCATGTTTCTCTACTTTATATACCTACCTACAAATATTACCAGTTTCGTGTTTATAATATCGATTAAAATAACGCGTATTTTATATGGCATGCGTATGTAGTATGTTTTTACTAATTATGAGTTAAGTGTAAAATATTGTAATTTATAATAGACGTGTAGTCATATATAGGCAATAGACATATACAGGGCGTTTAAAAAAGAATGCAAATAGATTTTGAATGACTGTAAGATCTGCAACACTTGCCACTTATTGAAGAATGTTACAGAAAGAGTAAATGGTACTTCATGAATAGGCCATTCAATTATAGACCCCTTACATTCCTACAATTGTTCAACGTGGGTACCACCTGTAAGACGAACAATAATGAGACGGTATTTGAACGCTTCCACACAGGAAGTTCACAGTGAAGTTCGCGGTTTCCTAAATCATCACTTTCCACAACGTTGGATAGATCGTGTAGGTAACCAGAGCCAGCATCTCGATTCCTGGTCCCAAAGATCACCAGACACTACATCATGTGACTTCTTTCTGTGGGGCTATGTGAAAGGTGAAGTCTTTGGTCCGGCGTTACCAGCCACTGCCCTGGTAAATCAGTGCGTTCTGTTTGAGATGCCTTGCAGTACTGTTATAGACTATAGTATAGGTAGGTAAATATATATTTGTGACGACGAAATGTCAATTAATCTTTAAGTCGCATGCCACAGGCTACGGCGTTAATTACCGTAACATTATATTGTGCTCGAAGTCGTAATAACTATAATAACTGCAATCGAATTATAAACGCACGAAAACTTACTACAGTAGGTATTATACCTATACCTAATAATGTTAATATTCATTAAAAATGAAAATATTTCTGTATTATTGCGCACAGACGGACAGAGTGGACAGACGAATGATGATTAGTGATTATATAATATTAATAAAATAATTATTAATATCTAATATAACATACAATTATTAATGTATTAGCAATTTATTATCGTCCTCACCGAACGGCGGATACCATCATACCGATCGATTCGTCGTCTCTTCCATGAATATTTATTTCCCGCTCCACCCCGCCGGGCAACACATGACGTGGGTTTATTATCTCGCGAGCATGTCTCCCATATTATTATTTGGCCATGAAATGTTGTTATCTATCATAATAACATAACATGAACTACACCAATAAGTGAGCTTTTCGCCCTCGTCGTCGTTTATTTAGTCAATAGTCATTATTAATTTCTCGATCTGTCCGTTTGAGGGCCCGCGTACTCGTCTCGTCCTCGATCGTTACTTCACGATCAAGACAACAACAACAACAACAATAACAATAACGACGATAAATTAAAGTGTTATGTCGTCGTTCGCAAAACTGATTTTTTTTCCCGAACACGACGATGTAATTACGCGTTTTTCTACGTCATAATACGTTCGTATTAATTGTTAACCGATTCCAAATAATAGCACATAATATATCAGTTAGTCGAATTAAAAAAAAAAGAAAATAAACTACTCGTTCGTTTTTTTTTATCACCTAGGAGAGTAATGGCGGATAATAATTTATGGCGTTTTGTTTTTTGTTATCAGTTCTGTTCATTGCAAAATTGCGATTTTCGCATTCGAACAATGTGGTGACTGGTGAGCTGCTGTTTGAAAAGACATTAATATAAATCGACTCGAAATGCACTCTCCAGGAATTCTGTCCGTGTCACGCAACTACTAGTTCGGGCAATAAATCTAACAACATGGGAGCTAAAGATTCGAAACCAAGCTGCATAACTTATGAGGATGCAGTTAAAAGAAGTACTAGCATACTATAATTAATGATCAATATTTTATTGTAGTATTATCATGTTCATTCGATGCTAGTTATTATAGTTATTTTGTTAATTTGAAAAAATATGGTATATTTCAGTTAATGATTCAGAAATAAAGAGACTGAGAGAAGCGTTTAAAAGACTGTCGCCAGTAAATGGAGCTATTACTAAGCATTCGTTCATTAAAGAAGTACTTGGTGATGGGGTACCACTATCAATTGCAGAAGTATGTTTTTAATATCACAGTTATTGATACTCTGTACTTATAATGGAATATTTTATAGTATATATATTCAGCTTGTGGTGGTACTATAAAAGGCATTATTTTCAAAGATCTAGTTTGTGGATTGGTACTTTTGACTCTGGGTACCAATGAAGAAAAATACAAATGTAAGTAATTAATGTTAGGAATCAAAATATTTTCATTTGTTTATTAATATCATGTATTATGAATTTTACAGTTCTATTTAATTTATATTCCAATGAAAGTGAAAATGTTATTTTACGAGATGAATTTCAAAGACTTATCCAAGGGTCTGAGTGTATTTTTGTACCAGAACATGTTCAATTCTTATTTTCAGAAGTATGTTATATTTTTTTTCTCACATGTCTAAATATTTGTTTAATTTGTAATGATAAAACTTTTAGCAAGATCGTGTCAATTATGATGAATTTAGATCCTGGTTAACCAAACATCCTGATGCCACATCATTAAGTCGATGGTTACTGTCAAAACCATGTTCAGTTTCTCTTAGTAATGAATTAGAAATGCCAACATTCTATCAAACGCTTGCTGGAGTAACTCATTGTAAGAGTAATATATTTTAGTTAAAAATAACAGATGTAATAAGTACATTTTTAATCATAACTCATAAATATTGTTTTGTTATATATTTAAGTAAAAGCTAGTACATATACAAAGTTTGAGCCGGCATTAGAATTTTGTTAATTAATATAAGATGTATTGTCATTAAAATTATGAGAAATACTATACAAAATTATTAAAAATTAATGTCCTTAAATTTAATGTTCAAGTTGATGCCTGATGGAACTCAAACAAGTAATAGTTAAACTAACTTCTTTATTTTCCAATATTACAAATTGTATGTATGTGGTAACACGTTTGTTGATTGTTACTTTTTAAAGATTTCAAATTTTAGAATAAAAAAAAAATAATTATTTTTGCTTACTTGCCTCGTATAATATGACAAAGAAGGATCTGTTGAACTATTACTTATCCAAATATATATTTGAACCTGAATTCATAAGGTATAACTTAATTTTTTTAGTGGAAGAAACAGATATCATTGAATTAGAAAAATGTTACTGGTCAGTAAAAGGGGAATCTTCTTCAGGCAAATTAGATTTAAAAACTTTGATACCTTTGATAAGTCCTCCAATGCCATTGAATGTTTGCTCTGGTTTGTTTGCTGCTTTTGATGAGAACATGGATGGTCATATAGATTTTAAAGAAATGGCTTGTGGTATATCAGCTGCTTGTAGAGGACCTTTAACTGAACGACAAAAATGTAAGTTGTTATAATTGTATTCTCAAAATAAAAAAAATTGTTCATTTAGTTACTCTAATTTAGGTTAATTTGTGTCAATCTAAATTTTTTTTTATTAGTTTGTTTTAAAGTATTTGATACTGATCAGGACGGATATTTATCAAAAGATGAAATTTCTAAAATGGTTGATGTTATGCTTTTCATATGTGAAGATAATATAGCAACTCAGAATAAAGCAGCTACTGACGAATCAGGTATTATTCATAATTAATTTGTTTACTTATGTTATTTAAATGTTTTTTATTTTGTTAAATTTTCAGTAAAAGAAATTATTGTATCTGATTTAATCAAACGTTCTACTGACAAAGGTCTTGCAATTGGAGAATATTTGATGTGGACTGTTCACAATTCGTTACCAATGGATTTTTTAAATTTAATTTTCCAAGTAAATTGATTCTATTCGACTTAGTAGCTATATTTACAATAAAATGTTATAGGTTTGCCATATTGTGTTTGGTTTGAGACCTATATCACGAGTTGAGGAGGGAGAAATTGTAAAAGGCTGGTTAGAACGTGAAGAACGCAGAGGCTTAGCTGTTGGTCAGTTATGGTATTTGATTTCAATAGATTGGTGGCGAAATTGGAATGATTATGTTTCAAATACTTATAAGGTAATGCTGATGCAGAAAATATGTCATATTTTTTTTCGTGTGTCTACTAGTAAATTATTTATTTTAGAATGGTGGGGAAATGTCTAGCTATTGTTCTTTTGAAAGTACTAATTCTTTTTCAAAAACATCAAGCTTAAAACTTACATCGAAAAAATCCCAATCATCTCTTGAAAACAGTATTGCTCTTGATATATCGTCTGTATGTACAATATTTTAAAATGAAATAATATATTCCAAATTCATAATATCAATTAATTTTTATTTATTGCTAGGTGGTTGTAACTGGAATAACCTCTCTGGATCCTAGTACTGGTGGTCATCGAAGAGTTGGTTCAATCACTTCTTATTCGTCTTTGCAAGAATCGTTAGTATTTAATTTAGTAAAAACAATTAAGTATTTAGTTTATTTTTTAAATAATTGTTATAATTTATTTCAGTCCAACCCAATCCCCAATCATGAGTAGAAAAGTTAGTCTTAGCAAACCTGGTCCAATAAACAATTCTGGTCTTGTGTCTGTGCCAACCACAAAAGTAACATCATTGACAGGTGAAGGAGGTCAACTAAAACGAAATATGCTGTTACGTGGCAGAGATTTTCAGTTGGTTCCCAGCTCTTTATGGAAAGCACTTGTACAGTGGTATAGAGGTTCACCTGCACTTCCTAGACAAGTAAATACTTAATAATAAAATATAACTTTAAATCATAAAAAAATCCTCTTCAATAACTTAATATAATAAAATTGTTATATAATATTATTAATTATTGATTTTGTAGGTAATTCAGTCTAATCGAGGTTCAGGAGAAACCGAGTTGGAACTCTACCCATTAAATTTAAGGCTATTAAAACATCATAATGGTACCTTGAGTAACGGGACAGGTCCTAATTCTAATGTGGCGAGAGCACCTACGCCTAATACAGGATCATGGTCAGGATTAGTGGGTGGTTATGGTGCAGCAGCATTAAGTAACTTAAACGATTTGTTTTAATTATAATTTGTATCAATAATAATTTTAAATACTTTATTTAATAAAGGTTCTACCGGTTACAATTATGTATCAAATTTAGTGAATTCTATGCCACGACGATACCTTGCATATACTGCATCTTTCAGCAAGCTATCTACTGTTAAACATGTATATGATTTTCTTTGTATTAGACTGAAATTAAAAGCAGAAGATATGAGGCTTTGGCATTTTCATGATGAGGTTTGAATGTTTGAATAAAGGAATTACTTAGATTTATATCAATTTATATATATTTTTGGTCCATGTAGAATAATATGGTATTAATTGAAGATGAAGATCAAACTTTAGAAGAACTAGGTGTATGTGATGAAGATCAAATAATTATAGAAATAAGAAACAAAGATTTGACATGGCCCGAAGAAATCGGTTCTCTCTCTATTAACTCTGGTGATAAATGTAAACAATGTAAGTACTTATGCCCGGTTCACATAAAAGCAAGTGTTTAAGGTAGCATTGTTTAAGTTCATATACACCACTACAATGAAAGAAATGTGTCTTTTTCGGGATGGCAGATATGCATTTAAACTTTGTAAATCAAAACATTGTGTGATACAACATTTTATTTAAATATTATTATGATTTTCCACTAGTATAATTCCTTTAAATTATAATACAGTATTATTTAAATTTGTTTTATGTAAATATTTTTTATAGTACCTGCAGAAAAAGGAGCTACTGGTCTAAACAATTTAGGTAATACTTGTTTTATGAATGCTGCTTTACAGTGTGTAAGCAATACTAGACTTCTTACACAATATTTTATCAATGATATGCATCTCTATGAATTAAATCGGTATGTATTTTTTATTTCTTAAGCTAAATTGGATTCAATTTTAATCATTAAAGATAATTTTCTAGGACTAATCCATTAGGTATGAAAGGATGTATTGCAAAACGTTATGGTGATCTTATTCATGAAATTTGGAGAGGAACCGCTAAAACTATAGCACCTCTTAAATTAAGAGTAAATTACTTGAGTTATTATTCTGCAAATACTATATTAATGATTTAATGTTTTTATTTATAGTGGACAATTGGAAAATATGCACCACGTTTTAATGGTTTTCAACAACATGATTCTCAAGAACTACTTGCCTTCTTATTAGATGGTTTACATGAAGATCTGAACCGAGTACACGGAAAGCCATATTCTGAATTAACAGATAGTGAAGGGAGACCCGATGTCACGGTTGCAGAAGAGGTTTGTCTCTTATTAGTTTTATATTTAATTTTTTAATTCTATAATATACTTGAAAAAAAATAAAACTATTTATTATTCAATTTTTCTTTATTGTTTATAGGCATGGGAAAATCATATTGTGAGAAATAAATCGATCGTGGTAGACTTATTTCATGGTCAATTAAAATCAAAGGTTACTTGTAAAAAATGTGGCCACGAGTCTGTTAGATTTGATCCATTTAATTATTTATCATTGCCTTTACCGATGGAATCATATGTGTGTCTCCAAGTTATTGGTAAATTGTTTTTTACCTAAATTGTATTGTATATTAACTCTACATAAAATATGTAAATTAAGTCAAACAAATAACTAGTCTATTGTATCATAATTCATTAGAAAACTAATATTTATATTGTTATACAATTATTAGTTATTAAATTGGATGGAACAGTTCCTGTTAAATATGGTCTACGGATGAATGCTGACGATAAACATTCTGTTGTTAAATCAAAACTTTCTTCACTAAGTGGTATTTCCGCCAATAATTTAAAACTTGCAGAAATAATCGGAGCACAAATTAAAGTTAGTTAATACTATTTATATAAAATATATGTGTAATTGGCTTTAATTTTCCAATATAAATTTAATATGTATCGCTAGAATATAATTGTTGATGAACAAAAAGTAAAACCTGGAAGTTTATTGTATGCATACGAGCTACCTCCACCTACATCAGTTGGTCCTGGTTCAGAAGTATCTGGCGATGAGGAGCGTTCGTCCATTTGTTCAATTAAATCTGGTACTCAAAGAGAAGCTGCCCAAACATTTACCACTATACAACGAACTGTTAGACCAGGAAATACATTAGGTAACATGTTTAATAGCAGATTATAAATACTGTATATTATTTAATTAGAAACCTACTGGCTTTTTCTGAGTATATTCATTTATGCTTTCATAGGCATTAGAATTTCAACTTTAAAATTATGAATACTAAAAATTAGGCCAGTGCTTGAATTTAAAAAAAAGTAAAATTGCCTTTTATACATTTTTTTTATATACCGTGTGTTCTTAAAATAGGCTTTACTAAAAATCTATTACTTTTATCATTTTTCTTCCGTACTTTCATAAAGGTATAGAAAAATAGTATGGGAATAATGATTTTTTTTTGTTGAATAGTGACTGCCACCCATTATTCAATAATATTTTTATTTTATAATTTTCTTTAGTGCAATCAAATGGCAATCGTACCAGTAGTTTAAATGAAGACATATCAACAACTGATAATACTGATGTAATTTTGTTTATTAAATTTATTATATTTTATGTTTAAATGTTGGTATTTATAAAGTATTTATTATTGTTAGAGTATTGGTGGATCTCAAATGGACACAGATATCAATTTAGAAGAACCTATTCATACCACAATGGCAGACAGTGGGAATTGCAGTGCAAGTAGTTTTAGTTTGACTGATAGTGGTGATATAATTCATCAGACTCCCAATTATGTTGTAGCATTGCATCGGAAAATGGTAATTATTTTAGTTTAACAATAATTACTATAAATAATTTATTTTTAACATAACTTTACTTTTAATTTGTTCATTTTAAACCTTAACTATTAATTTACAAAAATGATTTAAGAAAAATTCAATTTTTTCTTGATTTGTGTTAACTTTTACATGTAATATAATAGATAAAAATAAAATAATTAAAAAATAATAATTAATCTAGAAAAGTATAATTTTTAAAATACACTTAACTCGGTATGATTGAAATTGGCACAAGTCAAGCTAGGGTTGAATGGTTTTTTGGTGTACCTGTTATTGCTCAAATACATTTTTGAATGTTATACCATATTACCGAAGTCACATTTATTACTGAAGTTGTACCTTATACTATATGGGTTGACAGTTTTTTCAGTATACTGGTTCTAAAACCGTACTGTTGGTATCCGATTTCAATATCTTCAGTCCTAAGTTGAGTCAATATGACTCGTAGGCTGGTCAAAATTAAATTTGATTTATTAATCAATCTTGTAATAGTTGTTTGTAAAAACAGATTAGGATTTCAAAAGCTTAATAAATTGTTAGCATATTGTAGCGCAGTAGATAGCAGTGTACTTTCTTAATTATTTACTTTATGACATGTATATGTAAATTATGTTATATTGGAATATATAACTGATTAATAGATGCAATAAATACTGTTCCTCTCGGGAGACATACAAGTTATATTGCTGTAAATGTCATAGAAGTCATTCTTTTAAAAACAATTAAGTTATAATTTATGTAATATAATATATTTATTGTATTTTATATAAACCTACATCTTGTTTCAATTAGTATAATATGGGATTCATGTGAATATTTGGTTTATAATGATAATTCCTTGTATATTTGGTCAATAATGTTAATGAACAACAAATATCATTATTTTCCATTTAACATCATAATTGTAACATGTAAGTTATTGAAGATACCAATCCACCGTGACAGGCTTTAAAGGCTAGGTTAGATATATTTATTAAAAATTTCAAATAGTTAAATTTTTTGTAAGATGACTAAACCATAATTATTTATTATGTAATTACCAATTAATAATAATACACTGTTTTTAGATCAGACAAGATGTGTATTTTATATCTGCTCATAAAAGTAAACCTAGTATTTTTGGTTTACCAATAATATTACCATGTAATGAATCTACCACAAATCAAGATCTTTATCAAGCTGTTTGGCTACAAGTAGCTAGATTAGTATCACCTTTACCACCATCTGAATCTACAGTACCCAATCATGCTATGGACTGGTAATAAAATTATAATAACAATATGATATAATATTATGCAATATTGATGTTGTATTTTTCATTATTATAGTGATGATAGTCTTGGCTATGAATTTCCTTTTGTTCTGAAAGCCGTTAATAGAGAAGGAACACTATGTGCATGGTGCCCTTGGTATCGGTTCTGTCGAGGATGTACAATTTTATGTTGTGATACTGATTTTAATTTCGCTGCAAACCATATTGCTATAGACTGGGACCCAACAGCATTACATTTGCGGTATCAAACCTCCCAAGAGTCTGTAAGTGTTTGAGGTAATTTATTTTAAAATTAAATCCATAGACTAAAAACAATTATTTATAGGAACATGAATGTATTGGCGAGTCTCAGTGTTCACATACAGAACCAATAAGTCTTGAATCATGCCTTGCGGCATTCACCAAAGAAGAACAACTTAGTGAAGCTGAAAAGTATTATTGCTCTACTTGCCAAGACCACCAATTAGCATCTAAAAAATTACAAATTTGGAGATTACCTCCAATTTTAGTGAGTTGTTAAAAATTATTTGAGTTTGCTTTTATATTATTCTATATGTATAGCATCATGTAACATTTTTTTTTTTAGATTGTTCATCTGAAACGATTTCAATACCTCCAGGGAAAATGGGTAAAATCACATAAAGTGGTAAAATTCCCTTATAAAGATTTTGATCCTACGGATTATTTGGCTTCAGTTCCAAAACATACTGTTTTAAGGAACAAAGAGCTACTAGACACGACTAAAAATCTAAAGTAAGTATAAATTAAATAAAACTAATTTTTGATTCAATCACTTGACAAATTATTTTATATTTTGAATAGAGAGCAGTATCCATCAAACAAAGAAGATTTACAACCTGCATTATTAAATACAGGTTAGATATTATGTTCTAAAAAAAAGATGATTAGATCTATATTCTGCTTATTAATAATGAATATGACATATTTTATTGATACATCTTCATAAAAAATTGAATTTTTATTTTTGTAAAAATGTAACAGTCTTATACCCAATATTATGTAGAACTTTATAACAAAAGACCATTTGAAAATGTATGACAATATTTTCATTTTGAATAAATTTATAATTATTTGTTTAGATGATGATGATGGTCCATTTACGAATGTCAATAGTCGCCTAAACGAACTGGAAGGTTCACAACGAAAAAGATTAGAGTCCACGTCTCTTTTGCGTACACCAATAGATGATAAAGCTTTACAAGATTTTCATCAACATAAGCTAGCTTGTGAATTTAACCCATTAGATTTGAAGTACAACTTATATGCTGTTGTGGTATGTTATTAAAAATAATATTGTTTACGTTTTTATTGGTTAATTTTTTTTAAGACATGTACAATTTATAATAGTAATGTTGTAACAAATTAGTGAAATAGTGTATAATATAATCTGGTACTTATAGCGTACAATTCCAAACACAAGAAATAGAATAAATAAAATTAAAATAAAATAAAGTAGCTGAAAAATTAAAATAATTTATTATACTGTCAAAGCATTTTGTGCGTAGAGTGATCATGCCCCCTAAATCAGTGAATATGGTTAGAACACTTGGCATTTGTCTTCAAGGCTTTTCAAAATGGTTATTGCGACTATACAATTTTCTATTATTTTGTCTATTGTACCTTTTGTTATCTGTAAGACAATCAAATTAATCGGTCTAAAACTTGTGTAAAGCATGTGCCAACAAAGCAATCCTTTGCACACACATACATACCTCTTTACTCATTTTACAGAATTGCACAATACATTTCCAAAATATCTGTCTCCTTAGTATAATTTGGATTCATGATCCACATAAATAGATGGGTACATCTCTTCAATGAAATACTATGGTCAATACTCTCCAAAAAAGTCAGCAATTTTTCTTTTCGTGGTAATTCCTAGATTTTTAGCTAAAAATTCACAAAACACTGAATCGATTAATCTCTTATATATAACGCTTTACGCTTACATTTTTTTGAACAAATCTACTTATATAATTTTGTCTTGTGGATTATAAAATTATCTTAAAATAATTTAAAGCAATATTAACCAGAGGTAGTCTTAATAAAAGTTAACCAAAAAAAGTATAAATTCCATCATTTACTTTAGTTTTAAGGTTACATTTGTTTTATAAAATGTTCTGTTTTTAACAGTGTCACTCTGGAATTCTGGGAGGCGGTCATTACGTATCGTATGCTTGCAATCCTAATGGAAAATGGTACTGTTATAATGACAGTAGTTGTAAGGTAAAATATTCAATTTTGATTTTAGTGAATAAAATTTAAAGAAAAAATATTTTTCACACCTTTTAGGAAGTCACTGGTGAGATAGATACAAGTGGAGCTTATATGTTGTTTTATGAACGCGAAGGTCTTTGTCATAACCAGTATATGCCCAATGTGTTTGGACGTGTCCCTGTTGATGTTAAGGACCTTGATCAAGATTTTGATTCTGACTTGAAAAAAGTTTGTACTATGATGTGATCTTTGAGCTTATATATATTTTATAAATCAATGAAAATGATTTATTGCAATATTTTTACACAAGCTTTGTTTGTTACTTTTATTATTATTTTTATAAAAGTGATGAAATGCCATAACAATGATTAAGTAATGTTGCATTGATTGCTGGTTACTTATGCCATTAAAAAAGTTACCAATCTTAATCACAGTCTGCAAATTGTTATTTGTATATTGCTGATAATGCATTCCATATAATTATACTACTGCAATAGTACTTTTTACTATACTTAAGAAAAATAAATATTGATAAATAAGATCAAAAATATTGGAACAATTCATTCATAATTATGATTATTATTATTTTATTATTATACTGTTGCTTGTAACTTTGTATATTTACATTGTTTTCTAGTCTGTTAGAGCTCCCATAATTTTTTTTTTTTAAATATATTATTATTATTATTATTATTATTATTATTATTATTATTATTTGTTATATTATTTATGTTATGTTTCTGAAATAATTAAATTCTATATTTTTATTTGTTTAGAAATTAGTCCCCCTACAAACATTGTCGTTGAATATTACAGATTTCTTATTGTAACTGCTTACAATATTTTTATAAGTAGTTGTTTTTAAATCTATAATGAAACCTATGTATTAAAATATTATTATTGATATAAAATTATGCATTATTAATTGTAATGAAAATATTCTTGTTTGTCATACATAATGTAAAATTATATAAATATATAATATAACTAATTATTTTTATTAGATAAACAGTTGATGCAGTTAAAAAATATATTATATTTTACAGATAATTTGTTTGATTATTAGTATAAAACCCAAATATTCAGAATAACCTATAGAAATAAAAACATATGATAGTTAAAAATCTTTAGAAACTAATGTAAAAGGTTAAAATGTTGGAACCCTTTAAAACAGTTTTTTTTTTAAATTTGTATTATCTACTAGTATAACTATTATAGCTCAACAATTATTCAATATATATGGATACATAGGATAAATATAATACATTACAAAATAATAATAGTGAACGTAAAATAGTGTAGTGATAAATATGAATCGAAGACCCATGAAATGAACAAGTTACAGCTAACATATTAACATAATATTCGGTGATTAAAAATATGGTATTAATTTAGTTAATGAGATATGAATAACGTTTGGACTATGGAATGAGCTGTAAGGAGCCTGGATCATCATGAGGGGATTTATTAATACAGTAAAAGGATATTATTGAAATTAGCAATTGAGAGCTTTGGGAATGTGAGGGAAAGTTTTGAGATGAGGGAACGTGAATGCTGTATTCAAAATAGGTGGTTTTGTATGAGTTGATTTGTGACATTTATGAAATGCTTTAAGTATTGGACATCCTTTGTAGCTGGAGGTATGATTGCCCATACAAAAGGCGCACTTGGCCTGACTACTTTGCAATAGTTTGCAATGTGTCCGTATCTCTGTAATTTACGACACTGAGGTAGACCATTTTTGGTCCTATAGGGTAACTTAACTGATTTTGGTTTGAAAAATGTATAAAAGATTTCTTATTTCTTTATTGTTGATATTGGGATGTAACTCCACGAGAAATAGAGGGCAAGGGCGGCCGTTTTTGATGACATGTCTGGTGGAGTGGCCAAACTCCGAACAGTCCGAAAGTGCGTCAGATATTCAGAGATAAGTGTTGTGTGTTGCAGATTTCTGATTATGACTTTAAAAGGTAGTATGAAAACAAGCACTGGTGGCCATTAGGTGTTGCGTGATAACGTTGAACATTTTTCAACCATGAGGACAAATAATCAATATAGAACCCAAATATTCAGAATAACCTGAAAAATATATAGTATCCAAAAAAAAAAAAAAAATTGAAACTTAGAAATAGAAATAAAAAATCAGGATAGTTTAAAAATCTTTAGAAACTAATGTGACGTTAAAATGTTGGAGCCCTTAAAAAACAGTTTAGTATGAATAAAGTAGAGGAAAGTTGGTCTGCTGTAGCCTGTAATAGTAGGTTTCAAGTACATTATAGGCTTATAAGCTATAAGTTTGTTTATAGGTCTATATTTGAGAATTGTAAGTGTGCCTAGTCATTGAGAAGGTCAATATAAATATGTAATGGATATGTTAAATTAAAATTCTACATTTAATGATTTTGAAATGTCAGTAACGCCTTAATCGAACTTCAATGTGTTTAACGGCCATTATGCGCCCTGGACTCAAACTATTAACAACTATTTAGTCAGTTGGTATTACATTGTAATCGAGTTTATTTTATTAAGTTTATATTTTTGTTTGCTCAAGAATTGTGAAAATAATTGTATGGTTATTTTTTAAGGATATTAGAGAGAGTAAAATGCATTTTCGGATATTTATTATTAGGGCATTTAAACCCAGACCCTAATATTATAATGTGTTTATTTTTTTATGGCCAAATTTTCAAATTGTATTATTAACTTATCATTTATCCTCGAGGCTCGAATATGTTCTAAAAACTACAAAATCACTAAATGTGCAAAATTATGCATGATTAGCTTTTAATAATTATTCATAAGGTCAAAAAATAATGTCAAGCTATATACTAAGCAATAATTCTATAATAGCCTAAAAAAACCATGCAAATGCAACAACTTAATAACCTAAATTTATAAACTATATCATATTTTAAGAGAATGGATAATTTTTTTAATATAATATGTCTGGCAGCGGCTTATATTAATATGGAGCCTAACATCTACGGTGTAAACGTGCAGAAGAAATTGCATATCAACTTCTAGATATATTCACTCTCTTTGGAGCTCCTAGTATACTACATTCTGATAATGGGCGAGAATTTGTAAATAAAATTGTTACCAGTGTATATGATGTGAAATGTGGCCTCAAGTTAAAATAGTTCATGGCAAAGCTCATCACAGCCAATCTCAAGGATCGTTTGAACGAGCTAATCAAGACATCGAAAGTATAATAGCAACTTGGATGGAAACTAATCACAATGCAAAATGGTCTGAATCTTTACGATTTGTTCAAGCAAGGCAAAATTCAGCTTTTCATTCAGGTTAGTTATAAATTATAATTATTATTAACTTTTATTCTGTTGTATATTTAAAAGGTATTTTTATCAATTTAATCATATCATACATTTATGTAACGCCAAGCTGTTGCTCAACTTTCACTATCTGGCGGGCAAGGATTTTTGAGGTGTGATTGCCAGAAAAAATGTACAACTAAAAAATGCAAATGCCGCCAGTCAAATGTATTATGTGATAGCAGGTGCCATAATAGTACAACATGTGCAAATAAATAAAAATTTTAAATAATTATTTCTAACTACCCACCAATTTTACTAATTTTTATGAAGAAAAAAAAAATTTTTATTAATTTTTAAAGATTCTGTTTTTAAATAATTTGTATTTTGTATAAAGAATTTAAATAACTGTCAGTAGTTTGTTTTAATAATATATAATTATAATTTTTACGCAGCTTAAATGTTATGTGACGTGTATTGATCAGCTTTTACTAAGTCAATTTGTATATCCTAGGATGTACACAACGTGTTTAGTAAAAGCCCGAATACAATTTAGAATTTCAGCATTTACTGAGTACAAACAGTAAAACCTAGCATTAACTAGTTTACTAGTAAAACCTAGGTTTACCTAGTGATCGGGCATTTACGGTAACATATATATAACTAGCTGAATTACCCGGCGTTACCCGGGAAAACTCGTTTTATATATAGGTGTAAAACGCTGTGAAAGCAATGTCTTTTTAAGTGTAAATTATATAATATTTTTAAGTGTAGCCACATCAGTCTAGAATTGAAGTTGTGTTGTTTGGACACCCCCTTCCATGAAGCCGTCCAATTTTCGTAAATTAATAACCATATTACTTATTGTATATTTGTATAGTATAATAGCTGGTTTACCCTGCTTAGCCCGGGAGGTATTCAACTATTTTATATAAAAAAAATGGGGATGAAAAAACTACTATTTTCTTATATTGTATCTTTTTTATTTATTTATTTATATATTATCTCTGTACATATTTCTATTAAGGTTATAATACTTCTTTGTAAACAATATTATTTGTTCTTTGGTGAGGCGCATACACATATAGATTTTTTGCCGAACTGACACGGGAGCAAACAACATAAAATTATCCGTGGGTAAAACAGGGATTCGTAATGTCAAGGCCTGCAACCTTCAGTGTCTGTCCCTGTGCCTTATTGATAGACATAGCAAAACAAAGCTTTAAAGGAAATTGTACTCGTTTAAATTCGAACGGGTATTCATTAGTAATCATCTGCATCCTGGGAATGAAAACAACTTGACCTTGGGCTGAGCCGGAAAGAATTTTAGTTTCAATCGCGTTCCTCTGCATAGTTACTATCCGTAATCTAGTACCATTGCATAGTACCGGCGCATTTAAATTCCTCATAAGTATTATGGGAGCCCCAATTTTCAAGTCCAGTTTATGCGGAGGAAGGCCAGATGGATTCAAAGAATTCAAAAATTCAATTGGAATATCAATAGCATTATCTTGATCAGATAAAATATCAATAGAAAGATAAGTTTGTTGAAGGGCCTTAAACATTGAAAGAATTTTATTATTTATACTTGTAACAGAATCGTTTTTAGGTGCTAAAATCGCTCGTTCGCGTAACCAATCATCCGTTTTCTCTGAAATTTGGGCGACTTGCGGGTAAACATTAGCTATTAATTAGTCTTGTCCAGTGACGCTAGTTGCAATTGTTGGTTCTATTAGTACTTCACCATCATTATTTAAAATATTTCCATTTCCTATATCCAAAAGAGTTCTTGAAAATTGTGCTGCATTATTATCACCACCCAAATTTACTCACATATTTGTGGTCAATCTTAAAAGTTCGACAGAAGCCCACAGAAACGACGATTTTAGGCAAGCATTTATCCATTATCTTGGGCATAATGTGACCAATAAAAAAAAAATCGTTCAAAATTAACAACTTACCCAAATCCTAATTAATTACTAACTAAATTAATTAAAACTGCATGACAATTGTCAATTGGATAAGAATATTCGAAGCCAAACCGTATAACAAAGATTTCCTCTTTTGCTTGATTTCAGTTTTATATACATAGATATGAAAGCCATGTACCACTAACTCGTCGATAATTTATTTTTAAATTCATAAGTTAAAAAATGTATGAACTTTCACACCCTGTGAATATATAATTTGAAGGTATAAATAGTTTAAATAGACAATAATAGCATCTAAATATTTTGAAAATATCTTTTTGTTCTTATATCAAATCTACTAATATATATAATTATGCAAAAGTTTCAAATCGTATGAATAAATAATAATTTAATTTTGAATTTGGTACTTCCATCAAAATAAATAAAACTACTCCACTCCGTTTAAATATTTAATTTTGTCCAAATAATCGTGAACGATTACCTATACATGCGTGTGTATTTTTACATTTTTTAAAACCATTTATGCTTTTTAACAGAGCCTAAGAAATGTTATCAACATTTAAAAAAATTCAAAATCCTTACAAGAAGAATTGTTATTTTTAGAATAAATATTTTGAAACTTGCATTGAGTATAGAAAATTATAATTAAGTAAGAGTTTTTTTTTATATATAAATATATACATTATATCGAATATGAGAATATGTCATTATTTAAATTTAAAAACTAAAAAAGCAAGCCAAAACAAAATGATAGTACATAATTATATTTCGATAAAATTATAATTTACTATAAATAATATGAATAATATTATCAAATATAAATATTTAAGCACAGTGGTTAAGAATTTTGAAAAAAAAATCAAGGCACGAAAAAGAAATATAAACAAAGGAACCTGTTAAGAAAGCTCATTTTGCGTAGATAGTAAATAATAAATTCCCGGTTTCTAAACATATTTTGATACACTATTTAATTCCATAATTCCATATACAATTTAAAAATTATTATTTAGTTACCTTTATATTTTGGTAGGAACCTATATTTATTTATTGTCGTATGCTTGTATATGAATTTACTTCGAACAGAACCACGATTATAAAATCCTAAAATAAATAATCGTAACTACATACTGGTAACAACGGACACAACGGAGAGATAAAGTGTTAAATTGTTCAAAACTTATGTTTAGAAACCTAAAAATTGCAGTGGCAAAAAAGAAAAAATATTGTAATAAAAGAAAAAATACAAGGTCGAGGTGAGGCCGTGAGGGGTACGTGATGGCGTAATGAGTACAGATCAGTGTTTCTTAACCTTTTTGATATCACGGATTCACGAAACACCAAACAAACATATTGTTTTTATGTGGAAAATTATCATTAAAAAAGTATAAATTATAGATGATGTGGTGAAGACGGTAGGCGCCAGTAGCCAGTGCTGAAGACGACTGTTTTGACTTTTGACCTCAACCAAAGCATGAAGCGAGCGACGAAAACAAATAATAGAACCACCGAACACCCCAACTCCCAAATGCACTTTCACATACCTCTATCCCTAATTCGCCGTCGCCTTGTCTATTGATGCCTTCGACCTAAAAAAGCAAAAACAAAGCAGCACCACAAGCCCGACCTGTTGAGCTCCCTTTCACGCGGAGGCCGCGAATTGCATTATTCGACCACGTGGAGTTACAACGCGCACGGCCGGTGTTGCTCGCTGTTAAAACCTGCTGACCAGAACCCCGAACGAATTCCTCACCTCTTCTGAGCCCTTGCACGGTCAGAATGACTAATGTGGTCGTCCTGCATAACCGACTAGACTTCGACGTCGATCATTTCATCCTCGTATCGCAGCCTGCAGGATGCAAATGCAGTATAGTCTGTCCTTTTTCGGATACAATACACTGCGTGTAGAGTGTAGACTGCTGTAGTGCTGTGTTATTGACAATTGGCGTATTGTTACTATCCTATACGTAAATGATCTAAGGCAGCGGTCGCCAACCGGTGGTCCGCGAGAAAATTTAGGTGGTTCGCAAAAAAATAGCTAAAAATAAGTAAAGCTCTACGACTTGTAGACTTGTAGTGACTACATTGGAGCCAAAATTGCACAAAATAAATAAAAATAAAATTTTTTTTATTATTTTACGTATGTATTTTTTTATATTAATTTGGTGTAAAATTTATCAGTAATAGAACCTTATTCATGTAAAAAGCTATACGTGGTCCGTAGAATTTAGACTATGGTTTTAGTCGTCCGCAAGGTCCAAAAGGTTGGCGACCGCTGATCTAAGGCTACTACAGTGGCTATAATAATATAGTTAGTAATTTTGAAGAGGCACCTGTATAATTGTAAACTATAGGCGCAATTGTACAAAGTAATGTATAAGTATCAATAATTATCTATAATATAAATATTGTCAAAATTGGCTCAGATCTATTTTATCCACTTACAATAAATAATTCATTTCCCGGCTAACCACCGACTGCGACTAAGCGGATGACTTGCACCGCGGCCCACAGGCCAATCAATCAATGTTGTAGATGCAAACACGAATAAGATCTTAATTCGTGGATGCAACACATAGGCGTTTCGCTGCACCCGTACGCACGTCTATGAATCAGTATTTTGTGTCATAAATTATAATCTAACAATGCCGCGATTGTGCCGAGTGCTGTTAAAGCGTTACGTTCAATTTAAAAGTAAAAATTCAAAACATTCACTTGTATAATTTAAAATTGTATTGACGTGCAGCCGCCAATCGCTGCTGTCTCTATCTATAAAAAGCTATTTACTTTATACTTCTATAGACTATAGAATTTATGTAATTTGTACTCTGTTCTCTCTTAGTCTCAACTCTCAGAAATCTTGTCTTATGTAGTTTAGTAGTTAATAGTTATGCTCCTATTTTATCAGTTCCATCACAGCAATTGAGATTGAGCAATAGTCCAATTGCATGACAAAATATTTTGTTATGAGCATTTACAGTATTACAGGCTACAGCATATTGCATAAGCGCCATATTAAGCGCCATAAGCCATAAATTGTCTTGTCTCTCTGACCATGATAACAGTTGCATTCTTATCAATGCCTGTATGTATTTTTCTCGGAATCTATTATCTATAGAATATACATTGTCTTGTGTCAATTAATAATTATTATAATGTACCGTCGTCAATCACCATGAATAAAATAATTTTAACACAATTTTGTCACTCAGCAGGAATCGACTACTAATTAGTAGATAAAAAATAATCGAAAAATTGCTTTTCAGTGATTATTTGTCCATGTCACTGTGATACTTTTGAGTTGTAGGCTGTGTTTCAATAATATCTTATGGAGGTAAGTGTTGCATAATCCATATTAGATTTTTGACGATGCTATTTACATCTCGAAATTGAATAGGAAAAGTTACCATCCAAGGAAGCTCATGTGTGGACTTTGAGCGATTTTATTGAACGGCGCAAAGAATGGGATCAAGGAGATGAAGCACGATTAGCGGAATACCTTCAACAACTGTCTAATGTAAGTGTAACTCATAATAGTATTGTAGGTATTTATTATTATTTCATATAATTGTGAAATATGTAGTTGTACCCATGTATAGTTACTGTTGTTCTCATTTTTTATTCTTTATCAAACCAGCTTTCAAAGAAGAGTGAATTTTGTTCATTTATAAGACAAAACAATTAACATTTAAAATTTATCTGTTTATATTCCACCTAATTTATAATAGATATTATAAAAATGTTTTATACTGAGACCTAATATTATTTTTAATTGATAATAATTTAAATATTTTTAGAAAATAACCCTAGGTGCTAAAAATACATTAAACGAATTGGATGATTTAGTGGCCAGCATTGACGACACTGCTGTTCAAATAGCAAACATCAATAATGAATTTCAATTATTAGCAGACAAACAGTTCATAGAAAATAAAGTTCAAGAAGAAGACGAGACCGTGCAAACTAAAGTTGAAGTAAATATAAAACATATATTATTTTAATAAACAAATGGAAATACCTCATACATTTAATCAACAATATTTTTTTTAGAAGCCAGTATCACGAGAAATTAATGAAACTGACACATTTGTAAATAATATAAAAGAAGCACTTAAAAACAGCTTTAAAGCTATTGATACTCACTTTGAGAAAATTACTGTTGTAGTTAGTGATTCTGATGACGACGACGATGAACTAAAGTTAGAACTATTTAAAATCATAGCTTTATGTTAGGCTATAATATTTTTATTTATGTTTTTGTAATAGACACGAAGAAACTGTTTTAAGGCCAAGGGTATTTTACAAAAAATTAAATCTTCCCGCACTAAGTGGTAATACACTATCTGAGATCGTCGCAGATAATGCCATGTTTTCAGATTCAGATTCTGATGTTGAACAACCTACTAATGCATTTAAAGATCAGGTAAAATTAGTTAGTTCTTAAAATTAATTTATTGTATATTTATAAAATCAGTCTGTACTTCATTCACCAAGAGAATATGAGTGTGCACAAAACAAAAAACCTGTTTCTACTGCAGTACCATAATATGTAATAAAGTAATAACCAATCTACAAAATATGAGTTGGAGAATAGAGTGGAGTGGGTAAAAAATAAGAGAACAACCCTCAGTTGTATGTGTGAAGTGATTATATTCCTTAGGTGACCGAATAACGCTATATATACCCGGCTATAGATTATTGATAGAAAAAAAAAATATTTTTGATATACATCATCTAGAATTAAATTATAATATATATGTATATTATATTATATTATATAACATGTAAAAAAAACTTACAATTGCTGGTTTTGTGTGTATAGTTTAAATTATTTTCTATTTATTTAGGAATCATTATATAGCAATGATGCACCCGAAGAAGACATCTATTCTATTAGTGAATCAAAAAAGATGTATGAACCTAATCTTGAATCAGCAGATACAAATAATATTACTTTTGAATCAGAAAAACCTATACCTAAAAATATTCCTACTTATCCACATTATGATGAAGGTAATATTCAAATATTGATATTATAATTCATGTATCAGTATTTAATTGTTTTGTCTTAAAACAAAATTAATTTTCGGGAAAAATATTGTTGATTATGTGGTACAACATACTAAAACATTGCATCTAAGTTTATAATATGTAGTTTGACGTTTGTGACTATAATGATATTCAAGCCATTTTTCTGTTGATTTCAGACAGTTTATATTGTATAAAAAAAAAAGTAATAACCAATTTTGCATTTTAATTTCACTTAATTTTTTTAAATTATTTTTTGGAAATCACTTTTTTTGTTTAAATGAAATAATTAATTTTATTATTAGAAATAAACAAAATTAACACATCAATTTATTTAATAGTTCTTAAAGTTATTCAATTCAGTTGACACATTCAACACTTTCCAATTTTTAACACCTATACTAGAAAGTCAATCAGATTCTATCTGTGTTTTTTTTCATTGACAAAATACCCTTGTATTACTAATTTTTGAAAATTAGTCTTTAAGTTATATTAAAATTAACAATTATATACTTTTAAAATGATGTAATTTTCTTTGTTCGCATTAAACTTTTTTTAATCATATGCTTATACCAAATTGTTTTAATAGATGATTTATTTAGTCCACCGCCTTTAATTAATGATGATGACGATGAAAATTTAGAGAATGAATATAATATATTTGGTAATAGTAGTAGTAATATGTTTGGTGAAAAAAACTTATGGGATGATGTTGATGATGACGACAATGATGAATTTTCAAATGAACCACCTTTACCGATATACTCAGACGAACCACCTCAGCAAGAAACTAAATGTAATACTCAAGAAAAGGTTGAACAACCAAGTATACAACAGACACTGAATGATGAATTGCGAAAACGATTCCAAAAAGGTTATTTATTTTATATAGCTGTATTGATTAATTTTAATTGATTAACTGTTCATTAATTTTATATAACTTTCATGTTTAGATGGTACGTCTTCGTCAGATAATGTCAATGTCATTTCATCCAAAATTAAAGTAATTTGTTTTATAGCAATTAGTGTTCCTTAGACATATGAATAATTTCATTGTTTATTAATTATTAGTTACCCAAAGGAGCTGTTAATATTCTTGGCGGAGCTGATATACAACCATACATTTTCAGTCCTGCTCAAAACATAAAGTAATGTAAATTAAATTACAAACACATAGTTAAATTTTATCATATTTTGTTAACTATAAAACATTATGTATTTGTATACTAATTATGAGTTCACAAATAGAAAATAAATTTAGTTAGTTAGATTAAGTATTGAAACATAGTATATTAATTAATATGTGCCCAGTAGTTAATAAAAATATTTTCTTAAATTATTATTTACAGACCAACAATACCTGAGATGAGTAAAAAAGTGGCTGTAACAACCCAAAATGACATTGCTGAAGATATTAAAACAGATTTTAATATTTCAAATAAACTTGTTGACAATTCTAATCCAAATTCAGCTACTGTCGCACATAAAGTTTTAATTAAAGAAACTAAACCAATGAAAAAACGTTCACTCTTTGATCAGGAATCAGATGATGACGATTTGTCCACAACAGTTTTTCCAGCTTCAAAACCAGAAATTTCGGAATCTAAAGAAAGTTTAATGAAAGATAAAAAATCATCAAGAAATATATTTTCTGAATCAGATTCAGATGAAGAATTTATGGATTCAAAACTGAAAACAAAAGAATTAGCTTCTCATTCTGTTATTGATAAGAACTTAACAAAACCATTAGACTCTTCATCTGATGATGATTTATTTAGTACTAAATCTAATAATAAGACAATACCAAAAAAAAAATCTGTAAAAAGTTCTTCACCAATTCTTGTTGAAGTATTAAATAAATCAAATGCAATAGAACATATATCAAAACCTCGCATACATGAAAATAAACCTACAGGTTTATTAAATAAGGCAGTTATTGATGAATTAAAAAAGTATTCAGTAAAGTCTAGTGTGGCAGATAATAAAGTTACTGATAAAGAATTGTTACCAAATGAAAAAACAGTAAACAGCAATATTATGATACAAAGTAATCAAAAACCTTCAATTCCAAAACAGACAAAAAAGTTTAGCAATTTTTTTTCATCTGATGAAGAAGATTTTGATAATGATTCTTTGTTTAATAGTAATGAACCAAATAAAAATACCATTAATACACATCAACCAATTTCTAATGTAAAAGAATTGGGTCAAAACATAAATTATGAGCTTCGGGGATCGAAAGTAAACTTATTTGATTCTTCTTCTGATGATGATTTATTTATTAATAATAAACCAAATAGTAATTTTGCATTTTCAATAAACAGAAAACAATCTAGTTCTAATGACATTAAAAATATAGATACCTCAAAAGAGATTGATGATTGTGCCATAATTAATGAAATACCAAACATTGATATGATAAATCAGACTAGAAATGACATGGATAAAAATAATACAAACACTTTCAATTTATCGTCTGATGATGATGAAGGTGAAAATTATTTGTCTTTTGATAAAAACATTTCTGATGCCTCTATAAATGTATCTAATAATCAAAGTATAAACAAGAAAATATCAACTATTAGTTTGTCATCAGAAGAATTTTTAAGCCCACAAATGGATCAAAAGAATCAAAATATGCTTCAGAATACACCTGATAGTTTACAAAATAGTAGTGATCATGATTCATTTAACCAAAAAGAGATTCATATACCTAAAAATGTAATAAAAACTAATGAAACTACAATCCAGAATAATAAAAGTTCGATATTTTCAAGTAGCGATGATGAACAACATTTAAATTTTAGTCCACAGTTACAAAATGAGAGTTCTAATGAAGAATCTAAAATTATTTCTTCAACATCAAATCTATCCCCAGAAAATGTACTAAATAATAAGAATCAAGAATCGTTAGATGAAAATGATATAAAAACTACAGCATTACCTATTTCTTCAGAAAATACAAATCAGGCTATCAAAAATTCTAAAGTTTCAAATATTGATGATAGAAAACCAATTTCTCTTAATTCAAACATTCAAAATGTGAATACTATTGAGGAAATTAATGTGATTCGTCCAACATCAGACTTGTCTCTTAAGGATTCTACTGATGGCCCCTTTTTCAGTTCGCCAAATTCTAAGAGCGAACTTTCAAAAAGAATCCCAGGTAAAGCTTATTTTAATTAATATATTTTTAAGTATTACCATTAATATAATTGATCATAAAAATAAATAAAATAGGTATTCTGGAATAAATCTTACAAAGTAGAAAGTAAGTGTTGTAAAATTGTAACAGTTTTTTATTTAGTGTAAATTAGTACAAATTAAGTTCAATCATTGTGTTTAAATTAGGACATTTTAGAAACTGTCCATAAATCAGCTTATGTATATTTTATGTTAAATCAAATAGCAGGAGAATTGATAAGTCTGGACAAATAATAAAGCAGGTACATCAATACTTCAGGTTACAAAATATATTGGATTCATAAATCAATTTAATGTAATTAAAAATAATTGATATTAATTACTTATCAAATCCAATTGTTTAGAAAATGAGTGAAAAAATTTAGAACTATAAGAGGATACCCGATGGTGTCAACCAACTTCCTGGGCCACACACCTAATGATTTACGCCTTATGTCCCCATGCATAATTAACAATTTATTTAGACAGACAGTTTATTGCTGACAATTTTAATTCTCCTACCTTGGTATTCACTGATGGTTTAGTCACACAATCAGGAATGGCTTTTGCTTACTTTTTCCCAGAATTACATATACAGTCATCCTCCAACCTGTCTGCTTTCGTCTCTTCATTCATGGCTGAATACTGGGCTATCCTAGAAGCTCTCACTTGCATAAGTTTCCTCCCCTGCGGAGATTTCCTTATTGTCTCAAATTTTCAAGCTAGTATTTTAGAAATCATCAACAACCCCTTCCTTTCTAAGTGCTCCCCCATAATTCTAAAAATCTGTGCATTACTAGTATCCCTCAAAATCAGGTTATTCACCATCTTCCTATGGGCTCCAAGGCATATAGGCATAAATGGTAATGAGCACTCCGATTCGTTAGTGGGCTACACCACCAACCAGCCTTATTCGGGCGGCCCTATGTGGTGTCCCTATACTGATTTAGTCACTATACATCGCACATCCATACAGGAGATATTTAAGATGAAATGGGATTTCCTACTAGAGTATTATGCTTTTGGTTATAGGTCATTATTTAAAAACATCCCTATTCAACCATGGTTTTAATCCCTAAGAATGAGCTGCGCTGTCATAACCAAACTCACCAGATTACGCACTGGTCACAGCCTACTATCACACCACTCTTTTAAATTGGGACTCAACAGCAGTACATATTGTCCTTTACCCAACTGTGGTGGAGTATACTGTGACTTCCAACACCTACTCACAAATTGTCCATCTTTCTCTATCCAAAGAATTCAGCTAAAGAATCTCTTTTCTACTTCTGGTATTAATTTTTCCCATATTGACGCTCTTTCAACCAACAATGTTAATTTAATCATACATACACTCAATTTTATTCTACAATCGGGCCTCCGAATTCAAAAGTGTGAGCTTTACCATTCCATATTTACTTCAGATTAATGTACATAATTGTCGAGATATTATAATTTAATGTTAAAATCTCTTAATAAAAAAAAAAAAAAGAGGATACCCAAAATAATAAAGCATTAATAACAAAAATCAAGCTTAGCATGATAGGATTTTTTCAAGATGTAGAAGAAGAGAAAATAAAATATAAATATATTGTGATCATAGTATTTATTCTTTATTGACAAATCATTTTTTTAAATTCATTTTTCCAGCTATCTAGGAGTGTAGAATATAAAATATTTTAACTAAAATAGTATTGTGCAATTATTAATAAAATTATTTTATATTTTTTTTCCAGGAAAGTTAAGTAAAAATGCTGGTGCCTTTATAAATATCGCTAGTCTACTTCCTAATTCTAAAAGCCCATTGAAAATATCAAATATTCCTCGATCGGTTTCATTAGATGAAAAGAATGATGATACTTTACCAACTGATGGAACAAAGCTTTTTAGTGCTGAAAGAGTAAATAATATTTTTATAAATAATAAGCCAAACAAAAATGTATTTTGTTATTTTTATTTCTTTATCTGATAATTTGTTATAGGAAAGAGCCAGAATTCAAGTTAAAAGACGTCCTCAAAGTCGAAAAGCTAGAATAGCTGCAGCTCGAATGTCATCTATAGATATTGGTTCGGAAACAAACTTTCAAGAGTCATCTCGTTTATTTGTTTCGACATCTAATTTAGTTGACTATCAATCTAGTCCAATACTAAATGACGGCATTACAGATACAGATTCTTCAAATGAAGTTAAAAAAAAAATCCTAGAACCATTTAACAATAAATCACTTGTGGATAATGATAATAAAATGTATGAAAATAGCGAAATAGTGGAAATAAAAACTGAGCTTAAAAAAAAAACTTTTTTGGATTTATTTGATGACGATTCAGATCCTGAGTCATTTCAACAAGAATTTGATGCAAAAAATAGTAATGATATCAAAAAATTAACATTGGATGAACAACTTTTAGAAACTAATAAATCAGTACAAGAACAACTCCCAGTTATTGAATCAGTACATGAAAAACTTCTAGAGACTAAACCAGTTATAGAAATACAACCAGAAATTGTATCAGTAAAAGAAAAACAACCAGAAGCTGAATCAATCAATGAAAAACTTCCAGAAATTGAACCAATGTGTGAAATACAAGTTAAAGCATTCAATGTGAAAGAATTACATGAAAATAAATCTAAATCTCTGATTTCAAATACCTCATTACCTAAAAAATCCAATTCATTATTTGATGATGATGATGATGATGATATATTTTCTCAGAAATCTGGGAAAGTTAATAAGCCATCATCGAATATATTTGATAGTGATGATGAATTTGAGTTTAATCAAACATTTGCAAAAAAGAAATCTGACAAAACAAAGTCAATATTTGGTGATGATAGTGATGATGATCTATTTAATACTCCCTGCAAACCTGCCGGAAGTAATTTAACTTCTAACAAACCAATTGGTTAGTATAAAATATACTATTAATTTATTTTCTAAATAATTTTAGTTACTTCCTCTTAACTTGTTATATATATTTTTAACAAAATTCTATTGTTTAAAATGTTTCTCATATTTTCTTTAGATAAATTAAATCAGCGACAAACTCAATCTAGTGGTGATGGATATGTAAAACTTGCTGCTGAAAGTGTTGCTGGTAATCCGTTAGAATCTAAAAAAAACTGAATAATTTAATATGTTAGTACAATTTTGTGTTTTATGTGTCTAAATTTTTTATATTGGAATTTATGTGATATATATATATATGTTTAGTAAAAAATTAAATTTTATACATATTTGTTATTTTGGAACAACAAAAAAATTAATTAAAAATTCAAATATAATATAATTGAAACTTTATTTGCTTTTCCCACACACGTCTATTGTTGTTATAAATTCATAAGTTAATGCTATCAATATTTTTGTTGTTTTGATTTGATTTGTAATTATTATATGTTACATCCATTATGTTATATTATATATTATACTATTATTATTATTATTATTGTTATAATTTTGTATCATTAATTACTTCAAACAATAAAAAATTAATGGATTATGGATTAAGGTATTAAGATAACACCAGATATAGCATCAAATAATAGTCTGTGTGTCACATTATTATTGCATTGTTGTGATATTCATAAGCTGTACGTAATATTATACGTAATTTCTTAAATCATAATTTTGTAGTCATTTCACTATCTGTTGAATACTTAATTGCGATGACCACACATGAGAGAAGAAACTGATATATAAACTCATATATGGCTGCAAACTCTTCATAGGTTACTTTGGTTCCTGACATGACTAAATATGAACATGCCTATATATTTAGCCATGGTTCCTGAGGTGCTACAACCAAGACAGATCAATGTATAATACAAGTTGCAACTAAGCAACACACACACACACATGACCACCAGGAAGAGAGGCTTCATGGCTCATCCTCATAGTGATAATTTGTGAGACGTGTGATTCCAGATGAACACTCGGTTTGATTTGCATGGAATCAGTTATCTCTAAAGGTAATCATGGTTTGAATTTGAACGGAAGATGAAATTATATTTCATGAAAACAATTCATATCGTATTATCGTGGCACTGGACTCGGAATTCGACATACGTGTTCTCAACGACTCAGCAGTCAACACGCGTCGGCCCACCGAATATTCGAATTTCGAATCGGTTTACACACCGGTCACCATCCGCGACCGGTTGGCGCGCCAGTTCGAAAAAACCATATGTCCGACGACGCACTGTTCCATGAGCGATGCGCGGTTCCATGGACCAATGGTTCTGTTGGTGGCGGTGGACGCACCGCGCACCATTCCCCGCCGTCGAAAAACCCACTCCCTGAATCCCCGCCAAACAACTGCGCGGCGCGGACGTTCGCGCACGCTCATACGACGGCGTTACTATTTACTACCGTAGTACTATTAAACCCGATAATAATATGTTGTATATCATGTATATATTATACCGTATGCACACGCGTGTATTTATATATAATACGTACGTACGTATATGATATATTATTATGTGGACAAATATACGTTTATAAGGTATATGTTGTTTTATTGGCAACGTCTGGTGTCGCCGACGTACGAAAAATACAAAATTTCGAGCGAGCCACGGCGGACAAGCGACGTTCCGCAGTTATCGTCGGATGACCGTAGTCGTTAAAACTCATATTATTATTTTCCCCCGACGACGACGACGACTCGACATGTCGCGTCGTCCGCTGTCGCCGTGAGATCGGCCACGCGCGTCACTACTACCATTGTAGTACTATTATACATCGGCACGCCGCCGTCTCGCAGTCAAGCAGCCGCGCCACACGTCTTGGGCACCGCAGTGCCGACCGACCACACTGCGCACAGGTACGCCGCCGCCGCCGAGTGCAGTGAACTTGATCGATTACGTCAGCGCGCGTCGTCGTTAGCCTACTGCTGCTGCCGCCGCCGCCGCCGCCTCTAGTTCGCCCCTTTTTTATCTCTCTTTTTTTTTTCCCACGCACACACACACGCGCGCGCGCTTTCGCGTATTATACATATCTGTATACGTATGCACGCGTAGCAATAACATTGTAATAGTAATAATCATAATAAATAATAATAATATAAATATTATAATAGTAATACAATACGAGCGCTCGTTTTTTCGTGTGATCATTATCAATCTAAAGACGATCGGCGTCGATCGCAAATCGAATCGCAAAAGCGTCTCGTGCCGCCCGTCCGTCTTTGTTCGACCGTCCGACGTCGACGCGCATCGCGCAAACGGTTCGCCGCGGTTTTTCGCGTGTGCCGCCGACAACGTCAAGCAGCAGTCTCTCTCTGTCGCTCTCCCGAGCACAACGGACCATTACGTTGCCCGCACCCGGTCGAGACCCATCCGAATCGCCGCCCCGACCGATTGCGAAAACCTTCCGGAAAATCGTCGTCCTTCTGCAATAAACGTAATATACCGTAGTCCCGTACCGTCTCTTGTGCATAGGAAGAGGGCCGCCTCGTATTATTCATCATCGTTTCGTGTTAGAAATAATTCAAAATTCCGGTCCCGACGAAGAACTGCGCCTTTTCCGGCCGAAACGACGACGGCAGGATGAACACGAAGAGAAAAAGTCGCGCCAACACCAACAGCACCGGGACGAGGTGCGTACACGATATTATGTGGTGCTGTGGTAGACCATATTATTTGTATTATCATCGTTAGGCTTACAGGAGGGCTATAAAGGTATCTTTTTGTGGATGCTTTCGGAAACGGCGATCGATCGGAGATTGGTGTTCGTCATCCAATTCGGGTAGGTAGTTAGATCTGCGTTATATTTTCGACGCCGCCCCCGCTCGTTCCCGTTGAATTGCGACAATAATTATTATACGACATTAAATGATAATAATAATAATAATAATTTATATATTATAAATAAAATACCTTCAGTTTTATATTGTTATACTCGTGTTCGGCGATAACGCCGATGCACGACTGTTGTCATTTGTTTTATGATTTTTTCCTCGCTAATCAATGTCAACACAGTCGCCATTTTGTCGGGGATTTTTCTATTACATACCCCGCTTACTACCTACTACTAATTTAGTAATAATAATATTGTCTGGTCGACGTTCCCGCTACTACGATATCAATAATGCAAAATAATAATTTTATAACAACGTAATAATATAGGCTACCTTATTATTGTTATTTATCATCAACGCAGGTAACTCCATGAAAATTAAGTTCATAGAAATACCCATTTTCTGGGAACACCGACGATACCACTGACACGTTTTTCTCGTGTTCTAGAAACTAATCGATTTTCCGTAGAATTTTATTTTATCGTTGTGCCGCCGCCCTTTCCGATTCCGATTTTGGATTATTGGAATCGCCTCTTCAAGGTACAAACTGCAAATCGCAGACTAAAAACATTTCGGTTACGGCCTTTGCTCGCCTACAAAACGGCATGTGTGCGTTTGGCGAGGACCATGTTATGAGATTACGATGATTTATTCCTTGAGCCATTTTGGCGAATCTTGTAGAAAAACCCCATATTATTTATGTGAGCGTTTTTTGCAACTCCTTTTGATAGTTTAGTCATAATTTGTCAGCTTGTTGTTCATCTACTATTTTCTACACCAAACATTTGTATTTGTTGACATTTCTTACCTAATTGATCGATATTTGTACTCCTTTACAATTCAATGTTAGATAGGTACTTTAGATAGGTACTTTGTCTATATAAGAGCTGTTATGAAACGGACAATGTAAGTATACCTATCTATAGCTGAGGTGAATATAAGTAGGTACCTATTACTGTAACAAAGATGTTTTTAAAAATAATTCATCTTAGAAATGACCAACTTATGTTAACAGTTGCAAAATAATAAAACCATTAGGTACTTAGTGAAAGAAATTCTTTAATTACCCTTATCTGTTTTAGTCTTATGTTTCAATGCCTGCTTAGTCTTTGTGTTCCTAAATACTATTTTACTGAAGAGTTAAGGTACACATTTTAAAGATATAACAAAGGTTATTCTATAATCTTCTTTGTTCAATGTAACAATATACTTTGTTATGACTGTTATGGTGGCTCATGTGTTTAGTATAGTATCAACAATCATTGTGTATAGCTACTATGTACCTATTATGTTTTAATAATACTAAAATATTTTTCTAAAGTATAGTAATTAAAGAAAATTAAATTCAATAAAGATAAACTTATGCTAATAAGTATGATTTAATTGTATATTACCTAATATTCTTGATAATTAAAAATCATACCTCATCTTTTGTAGGGTACTAAAATGATTATGAAGTTTTCAAAAATTAGTCAGGTTGATAAATATAGACATTTTGATTGCTTAAAAATATTTTGACCTACCAAACATAATTATGAATTTAAAATTTAAATTAGATTGAGATTTATTTAAAAAAGACTTCAGTACATATTCTGTTCTTTTAATTGTTTTATTAATTAAAGTATTATGACCTACAAATGATAATGAGTGTTATAGGTATAACAAAATATAAAGAGCTATACAAAATTAAACCTAGACAAAATTATTTTATTCAAATTCAAAAGGTATCACCAGTATGACATCTGCTGAAGTGTATAATTTTATGGTTTACATTTAAAAATACTAGTCAATATTTTGTATTACTTATTACTATAATTTTGGTAAGTTCTCCTAGTAAACAATTTAAATAAAGGAATTTAGATAATAACTACATGAGTACATTTTGAAATTTCATCTGCCCATGATCGACCCATTATTTTTGTATAAACATTTTTGTGTAACTACTTGTAACATTTTTAGGTTTTAGAACACAAAAATGTTAAACAGGAAGAAAATAATTTATTTAATGTGTACTTTTAGTTAATATACCTTAAGTAAATATTATTTTTATAACAAATGTTTATCATCTACTGATGTAGTTGTTGTTGATTTGAACTTTTAAGTAAGCCATGTTAATTTCAAATCCGTGGTAGAATTTTTGCCTATCATAAAATGTAATCAATTCATCACATATTCATTAAACTACATTAACAGTTATCACATTACATATAATAATAATATAAGACTATCAATTGAATAAGTCAAGTTTTAAGTAAAATATTTCAATATATTTTTTCTTAATTTGACACTTAAGTAATAGGTCTAATTTAAAAAATAATATTTGTTTGTATTTTTAGAGCTCCTCGGGCTAGAGCCTCATCTTCAGGTGGAAATGGAATTAATGCCCAAGTATCCGGTGCAGATGGAATATATTTAAATGAAACATTTATGCATCGTGTTACTAGTTTAATTGGACTTGAAGTTGAAGTAAGAATTTTTTAATTATTTGAATTCTCAAATTGTCATATTATTTATTAAATTTTCTTTTTTCAGATAGTAACTCATTCTAAAGAGATGTATTCGGGTATTTTACGCACATTCTCTAGCAA